GCGTCATACTATAAAAAAATGTATTTTTTGTTATTTTCATTTTCTAAAATGTTTTTATTTATTTTTAATTTGTTGTTGTATTTTTGAACGTATTTATATATATTTATATCCATATATTATATATTTATATCCATTTTTTAAAAAAATTTACCTTTTTTTTGGACAAAAAAAATTCTAAAAATTAAAATATTTATTTACATAACTTAGTGCACCGTTTGGAGGCTTTTGGCAGCAAAAAAATGGATGCGCTAAAATCACTTTTTACTAACGCGCCCTACAGACTGGGTCGTTTTCGCCGAGCGCTCAACTTCCTCCAGCTGTAGCTCAGAGACTAACTGACGAAAGACGGCTGGGCTTCGCCTGTAGGGGCTGTAGGTCCCTACCGACACTAAGTTTTTTTAGGGAGGGGAGCCGACCCTCTCCCGTTCTTGGTTTTCCGGGAATTCTCGAATGAAATTTCGCTCGGGTCGTTTTCGTCCCAGTCCGTATGCGCAGGGTTAAACTTGCTAGTTGCGTCATTCCATACCTCCACTTTCCAAGAGGTTTTGACGTAACAGACATTTCAATTAAATACGCTCACATTCGGCGTTGCTTCTTCGCCATTCCTCGCCATTCGCACTTTAAAACAACTGGCGGACGATGAGCGACAAGAGTTCCCCAGAGCGGCCGAAATTCTTAAGAATCATGTATACGTAGATGATTTATTAACTGGTGCTAAAACTATCAAAGACGCTCGAATGATTAGGGATGAAATAACCGCATTGTTAGCGCGGGGTGGTTTTACCATTCGACAGTGGGCGTCTAATGATACGCGGGTGATTGAGGATCTAGCCGACAACGCGTTACACGCGAACTTAACGTTTAATAGCGATTGTTCTTTACAAGCATTGGGGGTATCGTGGCACACGCGTAACGATAGATTATGTATCGCAGTACATTCGATCGAAAATTCGGAACCGTTAACAAAACGGAGTATCTTATCGAGCATTGCTAAGGCCCGGTCTACAATGAGTCGTTAGTCGTTAGTCAGAAGTCGCAACTATATGTTGATCCTTTTCCTTTCTGGGTGGAAGAAAAAGGACCGACATATAGTTCCGACTTCTGACTAACGACTAACAACTCATTGTAGACCGGGCGTAAAATTTTCGATCCGCTGGGATTATTAGGTCCAGTGGTGTTACATGCTAAACGACTAATACAGGACGTTTGGAAGTGCGGAACGCATTGGGATGAATCTGTTCCGCAGAGTATCCACACAGAATGGTCGGAATTCACCCGACAATTAGGTTCATTGCACCAGGTTTCATTTGATCGAAAATTATTAGTAGAGAATCGAAAGAACATTGAAATACACGGATTTTGCGACGCGAGCGAAGTCGGATACGGAGCGTGTTTGTATATTCGATCGACGGGAGGAGGCAGCGGTATTATCAGTAAATTGTTATGTGCCAAGTCAAGAGTCGCACCTAAAACCTGTTACTATACCGCGCCTCGAACTTTGCGGCGCATTATTGTTAGCAAGGTTACATCGCGAAGTTAGTCACGCGCTAAATTTCGTGCCCGATAGAACGATTTTTGGTGCGATTCAACCATTGTAATACATTGGTTGAAGACGTCGCCTCACCGACTTAAAACTTACGTGGCGAATCGTGTCGTCGAAGTACAAGAGTTAACCAAGTCGATTGAGTGGCGACATATTAGATCGGAAGACAATCCGGCCGACGCGATCTCAAGGGGTCAACTACCTCACGCCTTTTTGCAAAATAAAATATGGCATACCGGACCTTCGTGGTTAATCAGAAACGAGAATGAGTGGCCTGGCACCGATACTCAAATAATTGACATACCCGAATTAAAAAAGAACTTGCTTGATGACGACCTTTAAGGATCTCGATATACTTAAAAAATATTCTTCATATTCGAAGTTATGTAGAATTGTTGCCTACTGTTTCCGATGGCGTCCCGCTAACAAATACGCCGGGTCATTATGCACAAAGGAAATTGATGAAGCTGAAGGTATTAAAGGTCATTCAAACATCAGAATTCTCTGACGAAATAAAACTTCTTCAAGCCAAGCATTCGATGTTCAAAGGTAAATTCGCGACCTTAAATCCGTTCTTGGATGAAAGCGGCTTAATTCGCGTTGAAGGACGCCTCCAAATGTCAAACCTAACTTTTTCGCAAAAACATCCGATGTTACTGCCAAGTCGGAATCACGTAACTGATCTAATTATACGCGAAATGCATGAAAAACTTTATCACGCGGGTATTCAAACCACATTATATACTTTGCGACAGAAATTCTGGTTATTGAATGGTCGAAATCAAGTGAGAAAAATAATACGTACATGCACGCAATGTCTAAGATTCGCCGCCCCTACGGTCGAGTACAAAATGGGAAATCTGCCTCCTGCTCGAGTGTGCAAAGCAGTACCATTCGCTAATACCGGTATCGATTTTTGTGGTCCATTCTACGTCAAGGAGAAAAAATTTCGGAATCGCACGCGAGTTAAAGTTTATAAAGGCGGTTCACCTTGAGGTCGTGAGCGATTTGTCTTCCGGTTTCCGTGCAGCGTTGCGACGATTCATCAAATTGAGTGTAAACCTTCATGAAACACTCGATTATGAAGGTTTACACTCAATTTGATGGTTATTTCGGACCGTCAACGTATAATTGAGTGTATTTTTTCATAAGGGCAGTGAAACTGTTTAAACATCATGTCAAACGTGTCGTAGGTGAGTCATTATTTACCTTCGAAGAATCAAATACATTCGCGATTGAAATTGAAGGGATTCTAAATTCGAGACCAATCACCTCTCTTTCGTCAGATCCGTTGACATGCTGGTACTAACGCCGGCCCACTATCTCATTGGCAAACCCATAACAACCCTCCCAGAGGGTAATTTGCTATCTGTTCCAGCCAATCGATTATCCACTTGGCAACACATCACAAAGGTGCGACAGGATTTTTGGACTCGTTGGAATCTGGAATATTTAAACGAGCTCCAGAAACGCACCAAGTGGATTAAAGATGGTCCAACAGTCGATGTCGGAACAGTGGTTCTGCTTAAGGAAAAACACCTGCCCTGCACTCAATGGGCATTGGGCCGAGTTACCAAATTACATCCGGGCAAAGATGGGATTACACGAGCGGCCACCATCCGAACTGCGAACGGAGAGATAAAACGATCGACAAATATGTTTATGTCCACTTCCGAGCGAATAGTTGTAAGGCGATACAAAATCAGAGGATGTGAAAGGGTATAAACCTTCATCATACTCTCAGATACATCATAACACATATAAGCTATAATATAGTTGATCGCTTCCCTCTCAACGGGGGGAGTATGTTACGTATAGAGCTAGCTCATAACACAACGAAAAGTCGTGCACGACAGAAAACAGATATCACAAACACATTATATATGTATTCATGCTTGCACATGTCTCTTTCTCTTCCCTTCGAAATCAAACAAGGAGGGAGAACAGTGTTCGGGCGGCTCGGCTGATTGATCCTCGGCGCGGCGTCGGCGGTTTTCAAGTTTGACGTTATCGCGGCTCCTTTGTCTTCGGACAGCAGTTTTTCTAATCTTTCCAAGTCGCGGCCCGTTTGATCCGGCCCGTTTGATCTCGGGCCTTTGGTGGAGGATGGCCACTTCCACTCAGGGGCCCGGTAGCTATATACATGTATTTGTCGTCGACCGCGGGGGACACACAGTTCCTGCTCGATCACTGAGAGAAATTGAGTGCGAGCAAGTATT